CCCCAAAACCCCAAAACCCCAAAACCCCAAAACCCCAAAACCCCGTGATTCAAAAATTTCGAAACTTTTTTAAATTAGAATAGTCAAAATAGAATAAATGGTAAATCCTCAGCGTATTTGTTAGAAAGAAAACTTTAGAGATTAGAGATTTTACATATATTTTTAATTTCAAAATATTGATAATAAGTCCTTTAATATAAGTCTGTTAATGTGATTTATTTTTAAGCAATAAAAGTATTCTGTATTTCTCCTGAAAAATAATTATATTATAAATATATAATTGCAGTTGCTTTAATAATGATTCAGGCAATTTACCTTCATGGAAGGAACTAATAAGATCCTAATCTTAATTAACTAAACATAGAAGCTTTTAAGAAAAAGATAGAAGGGCTTAAGCGGAAAAAGACTCTCAATAAGGTAGCTGAGGAATTCGAGACTAGTGGTTAAAACAATGAGGATTCTGTTGGAGCTCTAAATATATAAATTTCAAACTCCGATTCCAAATAGAAAACGAGAGACTTATCTAATAAAAAAAACTAGAAAAATTCATAACCTATAATATAGAGATACAAAAGCTTGTATCAGTAGACTTAACTGAAATCACCAGACTTCTTAGATATTTCGCAAATGTAAACATACAGAGACAATGGAGAATACAAAATGAATGGTGGAACGAATTTCTTAAAAATAGAGCATGACCCAAATTTATTTTACGACTCATAATATGAGTTCGATAATCAATCACAAGAAAACATCTTAAGCAGTTCTCATCATGGAATAACGTTGCAGAACCTAATGACCACATAAAAAGTTGAACAAACAGTCCTTAGGAAAATGACTACTATTTAAGATCATAAAAAAATCATTACAGAGCCGGAAATTCAGTTAAACAATATGCATTCCCTACATCAGCTAAACTAGCAATACTTGAATGATCTGAAAAATAAGCATTTTGACCCTCCTACCCTCAATCTCTTTGACAACCTACTTGCTGCTCATTTAGTAAAGGAAAGGGGCCATACAAATAAAGTAAAGATTTTCAAAATCAATAACCTTACAAACACTTCGACTACTATAACTGAAAGACTTATTTACTAAGCTTCTCAGGGAACTAAGGATATAATTAAAGGTCTGATATTTAAAAAAAGTTCGACGAAACTAAGCAAAAAAGTTATAACTTTAAATGCAGAACAGCCAGCTTGCCAATCAATGATTAGAATCGTCAGGGTGGAGAAAGCAAAGAGATAAGACTGTTCATTCTCATGTTCAAATAGATATAAGAAGCTATTCAAAATTTCTCTGGAATAATTAAATAAGAACTAAACTATAGGGTTTTTAATGAATGATGGCCCGAAGTTCAAGATCCTAAGTATTCACAAGAAATTGCTTTATGAGATCCTAGTCCACAGTGATGAGAAAGTATCATTAAGACTTGCCAATCAGAATATTAACATAGATGACATTATATTAATGAATAATAACAAAGATTACACTCTGAAATACCCAGCTTATATACCTTGGCAAGAAAAAATACTTCTACTTTCAGTTGTAACTATGGTTACTTTGGGTGTGTACTGATTATGTATATTCTATCAACACCTCTTCTTTTTGATATTCAAAGTGTAGTATGATAATTAGTAGAGTTTATACAGTTTAAATATATGATTTATTTCGTTTTAAATACCCTAAGCTATTAGTTTATCTTTTTCACATCACTTTGACTTAAAAATATTTCGAAGTTTATATATTAGTAAAAAAGTAGAAATTTTCATTAATCGAAGTAGTTGACTATTCTGATATAATGGGGTTTTGGGGTTTTGGGG